TCTTGCTGTGCCACATAGTGGATCATCCTCAGTGTGATGCACATGAAGTATCTCCTGCTTCTAATGCCATTTAGAAACAGAACACTCTAAAGAATATGCACAAGCTGTGTTGAGGTTACCTTTTACTTCTCCAAGTCCGTAAATGAAAATGGTGAGAACTTTGGATGCAGTCCTGGGAGCTGCTAAATGTACCTCCAAAATGCTTAGCAGACTCAGCTAAGGGACACCACTAGGAGTCAGGGGATGTCAGCAGTTCCCAGGGAGCCCTGCATTCCCCAGGAGCATGGGGAAAACCTGCAATGGCTGCAGTGTGAGAAGCACATGGAAGCCTCTTTCAGAGCCCCCCTCTGTGGCATGCTGACCCCACCTCACGGGCCATGACCACAGCAGCACCCTTTGCTTTCTTGGCTAAGCAGCCCTGGAGTGTGCATTTATGGTTTCTGGGCTCTGATAACAAGACAGTGCCTTGTTTGGTTGCTACTCCTGTCTCACACAGCCATATATCCCCCCATCCTCCCAAAGCCTTAGGAAGAGCTCTTACTCACCGAATTACAGCTCAGCTACTCTAGCTCCATGTTACCATCAGAGCAAGGCCCAAAACGTTCTGCAGTGAGCACATCAATTAAATGATTCTGGTAGTTGCTCCACATAAAGAAATAATCTATGATGCTCCATAAAACTCTGCATAGAATGTCCCATCCATCTGTGCACTCCAAAAGCTAGTCTTTTGTCCACCTATACATTTATCTGGAAGGTTGACAGAGGCAGGAGCATCCTCAAAACCCCCTTCTTTAGCACCCTGACTGTGTTATGTTCTCCAGCTCATCTGTATGAGAGTTGCCATATTCACAGGACAGAGCTCCACAGCACTGCCTCTTCCCATAGATAGATCCAGTTCTGTCATCCAAACCCTCATACTGAAATTAGCCTCAGAGATCAGTTGAAGCATCTTGGCTTCTTATAAATCTCTGCTGAGGAGCATGCTTTCTGTATTTGCCTTGAGGCATCTGCTATGGATTGACCCCTCTGGTCTCTGGCTAACATGGTTCACATGAGAAGCCTGAGAGGGGGTGGAATATAGGAAGGCTGCCAGCTACAGCCTTCCATGCTAGGCTGAGCAGAAAGGCAATCAGGTTTCCTAAGCACTGTAACAGATGACAAGGTGTATATTTATACCAGATACCCACATACTTTGAGTGAATTGTGCAACATGAGATTTGTCATCATGCATCAGATCATAGTGTATCTAATTCAATACTATGGTGCTGACAATGTTGGGAGAGCTGAGCTGCCTGCAGTGATGCACCTCACCAACTGTGCAATGCGGGAACAGAGGGTCTGCGATTAATATTCCTCCCCAGTTCCTCCAACAATCAACTGGTAGCCTGACTGCTCTTATTATCTGAGCAGGCAGAGCTGCAAATATAAATAATCACAAATTTAGGCAGCCTTCTAATTACAGCTAGTACAACCACAGCATACATTTCTGGGCTGACCCCTGGACTGGATTTATTTTGAGTGGGGTAATATATCATGCTGATTTCACCTTACTTTCCTCTGTTAAAAGATTCCTGGGCTAGTTGCACCCAGGATTCCAGCAGTGGGGAGTTATTCTAGTGCTGGAAGCAACTTGTCGTTTTTTACATCACTCCTAGTGTCATCTTTGATACCTCCCATGAGCTCCTCATTCTTTGAATACTTGGTTTTTATTTAGTTTTGTTCGGTTTGGGGGTTTTTGTATTTTGTTATTGGTGGTGGTGGTTTGGTTTTTCTCTGTTGTGTTTGCTGCAAGGGAATCAAGCCATTCTTCTGCTTTGGGTGTGCTGGCAGTCAGCCACATTCTGTAAATGCAGCAGGTGCTGCTGCCCTTGTGTTCACAGTGCTGTCATCACCCTTTGATCTGGTCAGGAGTCACTTTGCTTGGCTGGTTTGGGCTTCTGCCATTCACAGAGCAGGGCTCTTCCCTAAGGTGTCCGCAGTGGCTTTTGCAACACACCCATGAATATGTAGAGATAATTTCAAACCCCTTAATGTGACCAGTTACTGGACTACTTCTTCCCAGCCTACATAGTGTGACTTTCTGGTCAGAGCAAGAATGTCTCTTGTCCAAAAAGCTTTTACCCCCTCGGCTATCCCTAATTCTTAGTGCTTTCTTCAGCTGATTTACTGTAGTCAAATGCCCTGAATTAGTCAGCTATTTGTCTGTAGCAAACACTTTTCTCCTTGCAGTGACCTGCAGTAAAGAACTAGGGAGGGGGAATCCTTTTGTTCTGTAGTTGAACCTCAGGCATACGAATTTCTTCTCTCTGTTTCTCCTCTCTCAAAGGCTTCTCTTCCAAGTCCAAGGACTCTGCTATGAAGGGCTGGAGTCAGCTGTAGTCTTGGGTCTCATGAAGCTTGGTCCCTATAATGGCTCTTGTAGGAGTGACATGACTTTGCATCTCACAGTCCATGTGGCACTGGGTCAGTGTCACTTCAGGTTGTGTTGAAGGTGATTTTTGAGCAAACATCTGTCATATGACACAACCAATAGTGCTATTTGCTCCTGTTCTTTTCTGCTTCCTTATGTTTTGTAATTGATCCATATTTGTTGGAATCTGCTTTTCAGTTTGATGTGTTCTGTCTTGGTGGTGCCAAATGTAATTTCGTGCCTGTGAGCCCCTAATGTAACAGGATTCAGAAGATGGTGGTGGAAGCTACTCAATGTGGAGCAGACTATCTCATTTGGAATGAATTATACTTCAGGACCAGATAACGAGGTTTGTCAGATGCCAGGGGACTCAGTGACTTTTTCCACCTGTAGATTAGGGTACTGATCCTTTAGTAGCCCAAGTGAATTTTTCAGACAAACCAAGCTACCCAGAGTATGCAGTAGCCTTCATATCCTTTCTAAGTTATCAATTACAACAGTCTGTAGTGACAAAAATGCTGTTGGAGACCACTGTTCAAAAATTGAGAGCATTGCCTATGAGCTGTCCTAGTTATGCCAACAAGGCTGGCATTGCCATCCTGTGAGGTATCATATTGTCACATCTGTACCATGCTAGGAACAGGACACAGACACCAGCCTAGCAGTGGGTGTGCTCCTGCAAGGCTCACTGGCTAGCTTCCCTCAGTACTCCCACCTCAGTGGGTGGCTCATGTCTCACCTGTGTTAGCCTTGTCCACATTGGCCGGATGGTCCTTGCTTTTCCTGCCCTTCTAGGAGTGCCAGGAGCATGAGGAACAGCAGGACTCAGTGGCCACAGCACAAAGCAGTGCTCAAAGCACCAAGCCTGGCAGAGTTCAAGCAGCATTTAGACAATGCTCTCAGGCACATGGTCTGATTCTTGGAATGGCCTCTGCAGGGCCAGGAGTTGGACTCGAAGATGCTGATTGCTTTCTTCCAGCTCAGCATGTTCTATAATTCTGTGACTCCTGGAACTTCCTGAGACCAAGATAAGTGTCCATTCATGACACACTGTGAGCCCTTCCCACACCCTGCTGTAAGACGTCTCCCTTTGGTAAAACTTCATCTCCTGAAGATTCATGTCACCGTTCTACCCTCAATTAGAATGTCTTAGCTCTCCCTGAGGTTGGTTAACAGGTGAGAAAAATCTCCTACACAGCTGATTCTTGCTAGATCTTACCTCACAGCTCACAGGATAGTGTCCCAAGTTTTCTGAGATCTGGCAGCGTCCTGGGCTTTGGACTCTGCCCAAGGTCTAGAACTGCAGAGGTGTTTGGCCAGACAGTGTTAGAGAGACAGCAGCTATACCAACAGACAAACCCAGACAAACACCTTGGTGATTTTGCTTCAGGACAGACGAGATTCTGCCAGAGTGAGAAAGTATGTTTCCAGCTTTCCTGGGTGTGAAGCAAAGCCCAGCGCTGAGACTGAGTGACACCACTGCTCACACTGTCTGCCTGAGCTTGCAGGCAGCCTGAAACAGCATCTCTGAGAGTTGTTCTGCTTCCTCCTTCCCTCCAGAACAGGAAATTTCATATACTGGCATGCAAGAGAACATGGTAGTCCTCCACTGTCTTAAAGGGGCAGGCTGTGATTCAGTAAGAACAGCAAATACTTCTGCTAACAAGTATCTGAAACACTAATGGGAAACCCTCCCCCCCCAAAAAAAACCAACAGAGCAAAACTCTGTATTATAAAGGGAATCCGATTTTATTTTTATACCCACAAAGTTAAAAATATGCATGTCAAAATATTTACAATGACTATATATGAAATAACCTTTGTTAATGAAACACCAACATACAGTACTAGAATATATCCACCAAATTGATAAAATCTACGTAAGAAGAAAATGTAACAGAAAGAGAGAGAGAGGTAAATAGCATCCATGCACAGTCTGCACTAACATGGTTTTTTATACTCTCTACCTTTTAGTTGTGAATGGAGTCACAGGATATTTTGACCTCGTCTCTTGCAAATGCCTCTTGTGACTGAGATTCTTAAAACTAGCAGAAATGTGTGGGTTGCAGCAGTACCAATGCCTAACTTTCATATGCCAACCTTTCACATGGGGACCTTGTGTTACAGAGTGGACTCAATCTCTCAGCAACCCTAGGAGGTAGCTAGTTTTATGGAAGAATTTGGCAGATGAAAAGCACCGGGTTAAGTGGCTGGCCTAAGGCTGTACAGCAAGGAGCAAAATTCACAAGCCCTGCTTCATCTCTCCTAATCTCTAATTAGATAATAAATTTCCTCTGCTAACCATTATCTGCTTTTGAGATGAGCTTTGTCACAAGGTGGGGCACTCAATATTATATACCAGGTGACGATGTGGGAAAAAAGCCCTGCCTACAGATAAAGACTTGTCTCAGTAAGGATCTGTGATGCAGCAGTGCTGTTACCATGTTCTGGAGTCGAACAGAAGATTATTTTAGTGTAGAAACACATCCAGATGGTTCCCTCCCTGCATGTGTACCACTGAGCAACTGCATCCTCTGTGATTAAGAACTCCTGTATATCTTCACCCCTACACTTTCTCTTTCTCTCTCTCTCTCTCTGTCTCTCTCGCTCCCTCCATCATCCATGACTGTATATTTGCCATTCCTACTTGTATCTTATTCAGTCATGGGAATATCAAATAGAAAACAGAACAGCAAAAAAAATTGCTGTTGTATTGTTGTAATTTTGTAGATATTTTAATACAAAATTAATCCAATTTCTACTATTTTATCGATTTAATGTCTTTAACGTTCACTTATGTGCATATATATATATATATATATATATATAAATGTAACAAAAGGCCCATCCCATTTGTATCAATGGATAAATAAAGGGATCATAATCCTCACTGCCCAACCCACAAGGCACACTCCAATGTAAGTGAGAAGGGCTCTAGGAAGGGAAAAAGATATAGCCCTTGTTTTTGTGGTGCCCTTTAATCATCACTGCTGAGCCTGAAGCTTTGTGAAGGTATGGCACAACTTTGCAGAAAAGGAGAAGAGCTGTCTGGGTCACTTGCAGATTTCTAGTCCCAGAAGTGCTAGATCAGTAGGAGTTGTTTCTCCCTCTCTTTGGTGAAGGAGTTTCTGAGGATTCTAGCTTTGTTAGTGATTTTTCTGTGATGGCAGTGGTGATGATGGTGGGTGTTTTTGTCTATTGGCCCAACAGTTCTCTCAGCAGAGTAATTCTTCCCCACTCCCAGTAGCCAACCCTCTCCCCTGGACACCCATCAACCTTATTTTTTTCTAAGAACAAGGTAGAGGATGCCGATGATGAAACTGAAGCAAAAGCAGATCCAGGCCAATATGAAGCAATAGCCATGGTGAGGATTTGTGGAGTACGCCACCGCGTCTGTGAACCGAGCTGTGTAAATGGAGACTGCAATCAGAATGCACATCCCTGTAGGAAGGAAGAGGGAAAACAGAGTTGGAAAACGCACAAAAACCAGCAGTGCCGCAAGACTTCTGAAGAACTGCTGTCCCCTGAGATTGTAATGCATGTCTTGTGCCATATGAGAGAGGAGCTGCTGCCCATTAGGCTTATTTGTGGAGGATTTCTTTTGCAGCTGTGATGACATAAGACACTTGGGGCTAGTTTAGTGGGTGCCATGAGGAATAAACCTTTGTTAGGAGGAAATTAGTAATAAGATATGACGACAGTTTGGTGCTACATATTGAATCCCATGTGCAATAGTTGTCTAGGTGTTTATTCCCCTGCTCCTTCAAAACACTTGAATCCTTTTTGTTGTCTTTTAAAGGTATTTTACAAAACCCACTGGGATTTCCTAATGAAAATCTGGAAATACCTTCATGATATACAGCAAAAAAAAAAAAGCCAACCCAACACTTTCCAATTCCCCGGTGCTTTGTTTTGTAACAAAAATCAGGCCACTGGAAACATTTAGCTGGCTGACAACCTCCCCTGGTGACCATATGTGGCTACTTGTGTGCACAGAGGCAGTGGGACACAGGCGGAGCCATGGCAGGGTGTGCAGGTGCATACTCACAGCAAACCAGCATGACAGCTCCAGTCATGTAGAAACGTTTGCCTTTTTCCAGGGTGAACAGCTGGATAATGAACAGGACGAGCGCCACAACGGAGAAAATGATCGAGAGGATCATAAAGGCTTGCACGGCCTTGAGGGAAGCTGTCAAGACACAGAATAGATGGGAGAAGGTCAGGACTCAGTCTTGGCAGTGCTCATCAATGCCCTGTGATTCACCACAACGAAAACGCGGATGTAACTTACCCTCATCTTGACTGCTAACTGGCAGCTGAGAGCAGGTATTGTTGCACAGCAGCCAGAGTCCTGTTGAGATTGTTCCATAGTTGGAAGAACCCACCATCCAAACCTGAAACAGGACAGAATGGTTGTGTCAAGGGGCAGGAAAGCTTCTTTGCTCCTGTGTCAGACTAACCCGTAAAGTGAGCACGAGTAGCCCAAGTGCCCCAAAACGTCGGCAGGAGTCGGTCACAATGAGCACCGGACAGGTGGGATATGGCACTGCCTTCCAGTGCCAGGAGCCATTTGGGCAAAACACCGTGAAGTCTGTTCCAATCATCGTGGAGAAATCTCCCAGATCATCCTGACCCTCTTCCCATGCGAGGTGGCGGGGGGTCACAGCTGGCCAGGCCGGTGTGAGGGACCCCAAAATCCGCTCTGACAGCGGGTGGGGGGCGCGGGGGCCCCGACAGTGCCACCAGGGGTCCCCCTCGTCCCAGATTTCCCCGGCACCCCTTGGCGTGGGATGCGCGCTGGTGGGAACAGCCTGGCTGCGGCTGGGGGAACACTGCTGACCTCCCCGCCTCGACTTGCACTCTCCCTGATGGAAGGTGCTGAGGTGCTGCTGACTCTGGGGTCCGGGGAGGTGACAGACAGAGGCTGCCTCCTGTATCACCTGTAGCACCCTGGCTGCCTCCCTGCTCCCTGCATCACTGTTTCACCTCTCCCCATGACCATCAGTGGATGTTCCTCACCTGAGCACCCACCCCTGGTCCACCTGCCAGCCATATCTGAGGCTGGCTGCTGCTGCGGGAGGTGACAGCCATGCCTCGTCCAGGGCAGCCTACTTACGTTGGCAATGGTGGAGACGAAGAGCATGATGACAGTGGCAATGTGAACCACAAAGATACCAGCCAGTAGCACCAACATCTTGGGTCTCTTCTAGGTGGAGTCACTGATACAGAGAGCTCTGAGGGAGAACAAGAACAGAGGGAGGACATGAAGGGAAGGGCTGAGTCAAAGAACAGCATGACCATAATCTTTGTTTACATGCAGAATACCAGGCTGACCTTAGGTTCACTCTGGAAATGTGGAATCACTAAAAAAAGTCACTAAAAACATTGTCAAAATCTGCTCAAGAGGTTAAATAGAGCCTGAAGATTAAGGAACCAATATGGGAGGAGATGTAGAGCATGGGTATTGTAGAGCATGGAACTTGGAGGCATTTTAAAAATAACCTGAATATATACACAGGTTGCTTGAAATGATGTGTGTTAATGTAAAGTAAAAATGCCATACTCCAGGCCTATATTCTAGGAAGAGGAGTTTTTGCCCATGGGATTCACAGAGGTCAGGAAAGATTTTTCTCCTCCTGTTCTCTGGTCTGGGTCACAGACAGGTGGTATGGAATGTGGGCTCCTTGGTGCCTTGAGTAGTTCTGAGCCAGAGGAGTGGCCACGATTCAGTAGACCACTCCTTTAAGTGAAGGGGGGAGTAACCAGAAAAGAAATGCCATGAGGTTTTCTGGAGCTGGGGAAGATGCCCAGGTTTCCAACGAAAACTGCTTGTTTCCCTTTTAAAACTTGAGACATGCAGGTCACTTTATTAATGCAGTAAGATTCTCTTGTAATGCAAATTCCTCTTTGGTTTGTTTTGGGGATTTTTGCCTCGGTACCCTGCAAACTTTTACTTTTTTTTTAAGATTTCCTGTCATTGATGAACATGTGATTAGAAAGAGAGGGGAATGTGCTTTAGAAAGCTTGCATGACATGGTTTATCAAGACTGATGGCTTCTCACCTGAAAATGTGAAATGCAAGGAACAAATCTCGCAAGCTGTGAGAATGAGTGCAGACAATTCACACAAATCAAGTGAGTATATTTCAGGCAGAAGCATTTACTGAGTCCACTCTGTAGTCAGGAAACTTCCTAGAAAGTTTGACAGGGTTGTGTTGCTTTTCCCTCAATAGTGCTGGTACTGAAGAGCAGTATCAAGCATGTGATTAATGTTAGCTGTCAAGTTATTTTGGTCCAGGTGACTCAGGTAAGGTCTGATGCTGTCACCCTCTGTACAGGGTGTGGTAACACTGTCATGAAACAAGACACTTATACTTTATGATGTCTTTCACACAAACTGTGACAAAAGGCTTTATGAAGTCCCATTCATGTGTCTTTTTTACTTGATGACTCCACCTACTCCACTACTTCTTTCCTCTCATTGTGGACATGAGTGGGAGTGTATTCCTGTAAAAATGCTGCAGTTGTTCCTGGCACTGCTTTGTATACAGTTTCCCAAACCACAGTGGGTAGGCAGGCTTCTCCATTAGTGGCACTTTGACCAGTTCAGCATTAGCTGGTGATCAGGAATCTGATCTCAAGGAACCAGTTGTTAGGTCACTGCTCCCACCCAAACAAAGCTACTCTTTAGTAAAACAGATTAGGTTTGGTGACTAGTCCCATCTCCTCAGCAAATCTTGTCTACTGTGAGGTTTCCTTCACCTGCAAAACTCTCTGGAGATGTTAAGCTCTGACTTGCTGAATGTGGGCCGCACTTGCTTGTCTGCTTTGTGGTGTCCTAGCAAACTCATGCTTTAGAGCTTGATTTGGCTGGATGGCCTGGTCACTGTGACCTCTCTTGTCACCGTACCTCCCTCAGTGATGATCTTAGAGAAAGCACAGCCTTCTTAGGACTTTCCCTCTCACTGTAGTGACAGTCATTTATGATTTCAGCACTGCTAAAACCCAGGTTCTCAACAGTTTATACAGGCTACCACATGAACATACTTGACCTGAGAGTTAAACCCTTCTTTCCCTTCATTGTAAAAGGGATGAGAGTTTCAAAATGCTGGATGGCAACTGTTACCGATATTACCACTGCAACTGAAACTGAGAAACTATTGCTGTTGCCATGACTAAGTGACATATCTGCAGCAAACTCTTGAGTCAAATCTTCCTGTCCCTTTGACTACTTTTTTTTTTTTTTTTTGTTACCTTGGTTCTTACACAAACTGTAACAAGCGGTCTTGACACTCTAGGGTGCTAGCAAGCATAAACCAAACTGACAAATTTGTCTGCTCTGAAATTTGCCTTTACTGAACAGTGGCTGAACTTTCTACTTTCTTAGATGGATGTATTTTTCCATGGCCTCTTTAAAATCTCACTCCGTGCTTTTTTTCCTTATTATTTTTTAGACCTTCAAACAAAGCTTTCTACTTGAAAGATTAAAAACCTACTTTCATGACATCCTAAGGATGAGAACAGTCCTTTTAAATGCATCTTTTGTTTGCATTCAGAAATGAAAATGAGGGATAAATGTTACTTTACAATGTAAAAAAACCCAAAAAATAAAATCATGACCCCATGTCCAGGACTTTGACCAATATTCTATGAAAAAACTGAAATCCTTGATTCCTTTTGCTTTTTCTGCCTGTTCCAGCACTGCAGGAGAGCGGTGTTAGTTCAGGTGCTTGCAGTGCACCTACTTCCTGAGAACATCAGCACCTCTCCCTGCATACACACGTTATCAAATGCAAACTCCCCCAGGGGATATGTGCTCACAGCTTAGTTTTGATTCTTTGTGAGTTAAAGTACAAGCCTCCCTCTGTATTCATTTGCTTTCCCCCTTCTTCATCTCTCTCTGCCTGTTAAATAAAACACGAGAGAACAATCCCAGAGGAGCCGTGGGTGAAGGAACGGCACTGAAATAGATTCACTTCTGTCTCTGATGCTACGGCGTGGACTTTTCCTCCCATTAGACACAGAAACTGGCAGAGCTTCAGGGACTGACAGGATACCGTTTCCATTTGTTAAGTGTGAGACATCTTTCTCCACTACAGGGTGGGGTCACATTGCTGGAGCAATAGGACAAAATTGCATGCAAATGCCTTTTCTTCCATTCTCCTACCTAAACTGCAGCTGCATTTGGAGTTCCTCAGACTCGGGCTATGAGTCAGTCTTAGCCTTCCTAGAGCTGCCAGCTTTTTCCACTGACTCACCCCAAAGCTCTCGAACTCCACAGTAATTTAACCCTGAAAGATTAAGTGCTCAGGACACTGTCAGTTTTAGGACTGCTTCTCAAGAACCAGTCAAGCAAACAATTTGTGAGTATTCTCCAAGCATCTTTCAGAGGAGAGACCCCAACTAACCCAAGAAAAAAAGGAATGAGACATAACAGTAGAAGGACTACTGAGGTAGGCAGGCTGGTGGGGAAGTGGTCAGGCACCTGCTGAGCAGCCCGCATGAGTCAAGAGAAGATATTGTGCTGATAACAGTGGACTGACTTTCCTTTTCATGGGGTGATGGATGAAGAGAAATAACAAGCCACACCAACAGTAAGCACGAGTAAGAATCACCATAGAAGCTTTCAGTATAAAAAAACCTGCAGATAAGCATGACAGATTGTGTATTCTCTGACCGTGTAGGAGTACACATACTGGGGAACAACACACAGCTCTGCTGCACCCCAGTTCAAGTTCAAGCAGGCTGGTAGTATCTATTAAAAACTAAGACAAAGACTTCTCATGCAGGCAGACTGTTGCCACTACATCACCCCTCTGTCTACTTAAGTGTTTTGGATCCTTCTGTCTGAGGGGGCAGTGTGAAGTGAGTCTTTGCCCCGGTTTGCTTCTTAGAAAAGGATCAGGATGGAATGTGAAGTGCCACTTGGAGATATGATAAAGGCCAATGGTATCATTTCTCAAATATGGCAAGTGAGTTACTCAAGAGGGTAAGCCAGATTAGGTAGAGGTCCTTTGCTTCTGACAGAAAGTGTACTGCAATGAAAAGACTAAAGGGTGAGTGCACAGGATATTTCAGCAGGAACAATGGGGTTGTTTCAGGTGAAAAATCAGGGCACTCTCAACTAAATTTGAAGTATTTCAGATCTCAAGTATTCCTTAATGGATGTAGTTCATCTGACTTCCATTTCCATCTTCCTCTCTGAACTGAGGTCCCTGCTTGGGACTGCCTCTCCCAAGCTGAGTTGGTGAGGTGTACTGTGAAAGATGCTGGCTGAGATGAAAACCCAGCCAATATCCTGTAGCTCCCTAGAGTGTCCAGGGAGCAGAGGACATCTAAATCGCACTGCCTGTACACACTGGTGACCTCTGACTCCTTTCAAAGTAAGTTTTTCTGAAACTGAAGCTGAAGACCCTTTAGTTTGATACATTAGATTTCTCAACAATGGAAAGATGACCTTCTGAGGAAAAAACAGATGCTTTTGGTTTGAATGTCAACAAAAATCTCCATAGATTGAAAACAACTAACACAAAAGAAATTCTGCCTTTCCCAGCTGCCACTACAGAATATAAGGAAGGCAGCAGTAAGTCAGACCAGTGGTCTGACTCTCCCAGTCTCTGATGGAGACAACAGGAGCTCCAATATTTAGAGAAAGCATGTGAACTTGGTCACTGTCTGAGGGACACAGAGTCACATCAGGAATACTGCTGGTTCAAATTAGGGCCAAGGCAACTTGGAAAGGAAGGATGAAACTGGAGAGTAATGGACAGAAAGTAAAAACTGTTTGGCATTGTTTGAGATGGCCACAAACTTCCACCTCCGTTAGCAGCACATTCCTCAGTGCAAAGTCAAGCACAAATAGCAATGCTGCCATGTTACTACCAGTAAGGGAAACCTCAGTGTGGGATAAAACCTCGTGCAGAATTTGTACACATGCCTTTTGACTGAGCTGAGGCCATCACTGCATCTTAGACCTACTACAACTGCACACCTTGTCCTTGTGTAGGCTACGAGTCCTCATCAGTACTCATTGTGCCCAGAGTCATTTGGCAGGATGCAAAGATGTGAATATCTCTCTGATATTTTGCTGCCATGATGACTTTGGACATGTCACATTGTTACTGGAAAGCTCATGACAACTTTAAGCAACAGGGAAGAATCCTTTTGCTTTCACCCTTTGCTCTGTCTCTTGCTTCAGATCCTGATGAATCCACAGTCCTTGCTGACTCCAGACT